CCTTTCCTGTAGCTGACCCTCAGATGGCAGAAGACCCAAAGGAAATATATATACACACACACATATACACACACACACACACACACACATATATATATATATATATATATATATTTTTTTTTTTGAGACAGAATCTCGCTCTGTCACCCAGGCTGGACTGCAGTGGCGCGGTCTCAGCTCACTGCAACCTCCGCCTCCCGGGTTCAAGCCATTTTCCTGTCTCAGCCTCCCGAGTAGCTGGGACTACAGGCGCCCGCCACCAGGCCCGGCTAATGGTGAAACCCTGCCTCGACTAAAAATACAAAAATTAGCCAGGCGTGACGGCATGTACCTGTAATCCCAGCTACTTGGGAGGCTGAGGCAGGAGAATCGATTGAAACCGGGAGGCAGAGGTTGTAGTGAGATGAGATCGCTCACTCTCCATCCCTCCAGTTCCCAGGCTGTTAGTCTAATTTTTCCCGCGAGGTCTCTAATCCCCGTCCCCTTCCACTCCAGGGTTACTGTGGCAACGCCAACCTTTGAATCCCCCTCCTGCGCGCTGAGCGGCTCGTAACCATGGAGACCGAAGCAGGTTTCCCGCCCCCGCCTCGTCACCCAGAGACTGCAGCCCCGGGGCCCAGACCCTTTGGACAAGGAGAGCCGAGCGGGCCCCACAATGCTCCGTGGGTAAAGGGGTCCTCCCCACTCCTCTCCTGCCTGCCGACGAAAGAAACACCCCGCAACATGCACAAGCTCAGACGGAGTTCTGGGCCCGCGGATTCTACTGCGCAGGCCCTCACGCTTAGGAAAGGGACTTGGGCGCGAAAGCGCTGGTGGCGCTCAGCCTGCTGGGAGTTGTAGTTTTCTGGCTGCTACTGCAGGAGATACAGGTGGCCAATGGGTGAGCTGGATGGAGGTAAGAACAAGGTTAAGGAAGCTGGGATCTTCGTGCAGGTTGGATCGTCACCATAGCAACAATGAAGCATCACGAAGTGCTAGTTCTGCTAGGCAGTCTGCCGTTTTCATTCTTTCATCTTTTTTTTGTTTTAACTCAAAGCTTACTTTGCAACAGGCACTGTTCTAGGCACTGGGGATACAATGGAAAACAAAATAGAGCTTATATTTTGGCAGGAGGAGATCGACAATAACGGTGAACACATGTTACTGGAAAAGCAGTATGTTAATAAGTAATTGGGCTGCTTTGGGAAAAAATGGAAATGCAGGCAATGTTAGAACACTGGCATACACACTAATTCATTTATCCTCACAAAGCCCTATAGACAGATACTATTATGACCCCTCAACTGTAACATAGGCTGAACAACTGAAGGTCACATGACAAGGAAGTAGCGGAGCTGGGATTTGAACCCAGGCAGTCTGACTTCATACTTGATAAGCTTAACCACAATGCGAAATTGGTAAATAGCTGTGTGGCATAATTTCAGGTAGTGATAAGTGCTGTGAAGGATAAAGCAAAGAAAGGGGCTGGGGTGGCTCTTTGGAGAGACTACTTAGGGATGGCTTTCAGGAAGAGGTGGCATTTGAGTAGGGGCATTTGAGAGGGACTGATGTGACTTGTGATAAAAGAAAAACTTCAGACTAATTAAATTTAAAGAAGTTTAATTGGCTGGGCACGGTGGCTCACGCCTGTAATTCCAGCACTTTGGGAGGCCGAGGAGGGTGGATGGCTTCAAGTCAGGAGTTTGAGACCAGCCTGGCCAACATGGCAAAACCTCGTCTCTACTACAAATACAAAAATTAGCTGGGTGTGGTGGCGGGCACCTGTAGTCCCAGCTACTCGGGAGGCTGAGGCACAAGAATTGCTTGAACCCAGAAGGTGGAGGTTGTAGTGAGCTGAGATCGCGCCATTGCACTCCAGCCTGTGCAACAGAGCGAGACTCCATTTCTAAATAAATAAATAGAGTTTAATTGAGCCAATGAAGGATTCACGAATCAGGCAGCCTCGGGCCAGAGTAGGCTGAAACTCCAGCACAGCCATGTGGTGGAAGATTTACGGACAGAAAAAGGAAAGTGACGTACAGAAAACCGAAGTCAGGTACAGAAACCGCTGGATTGATTACAGCTCGGCGTTTGCCTTATTTGAACACAATTCGAACAGTTGGCTACATTTGATTGCCCAAAACTTGGTGATTGGCACAAGTGTAGGCCACCTTCTGTTTACATCTCCACTTGTTATAGTTCACGACGTGCAGAAAAACCTTCAGGCTGAACTTAAAATACATAAGGAGACAGCTTTAGGCTAAACTTGATTTAACACTGGTGAGCTGGACATGTGGGGCATATGGAGGGTTAAAGGTCACTAAACTTTAGTTTCCTCTTGCCTTCCTGAAGGGCCACATACTGTAATACCTGCAGTTCCCTCCAATAAGAACGTACTTCTTCATTCTCTTTTCCTGGCAAACACATTCTTCAAGGTCCAGTTCTGTGAAGATCCTTCTGCCTGTTTTTTTAAAATTTAGTTTTATTTGTTTATGGTCATATGCATCTCTTCCTGGTCTGGACTCATCCAATCCATTTGTCACAGTAAAGCTTCGGGGGCAGGGGAGGTGGTTATTCTAACGTACATCCAATCAAGCCGCTCTCTGTTTAAAACCTTTTGAAGGCTTCCCATACCTCCCAGGATAAAGACTCACCTCATCTTCTATCTTTAAGGGCTTGCAAATCTCACTCTCCAAATCTCTCCCTCTCTCACACTCTGACCCAGCTACCCTGGCCCATCATCTCTTTATCTTATGGGCTGAGCTCTTTTCCACCCCAGGGCTCTGTGTGTTATTTGGTGAATGAATTAATGAATTAATTCAGTTTCCCGTCACTAACCAGATAACCCACATCTAAGAATCTAATGATAAAACAGGCAAGTGGAGAAGTTTTGGATTTGGTCTGCACTCAGTTGCTGTTGTTTGCCTTCCCAGGATCCCTCCTGCCTCCTTTTCTTTCCTTCCTTTCCCCTCCTTCCTTCCTTCCTTCCTTCCTCCCTCCCTCCCTCCCTTCCTTCCAGCAGAGTAGCTGCTTTCGTTTTTTTAAAAAAGCCTATTTCAGATAATTGTAGGTTTATGATCAGTCGCTTTGCTTTTCAAAGTATAACATGCATACTAGGATCTTGTTAGAATGAGATTCTGATTCTGTAGTTTTGGAGTGGGTCTGAGAATCTGCATTTCTTTCTTTTTTTTTTTTCTTTCTTTTTTTTGAGATGGAATTTTACTTTGTCGCACAGGCTGGAGTGCAGTGGACCCACCTCAGCTCACTGCAACCTCTGCCTCCCGGGTTCAAGCGATTCTCCTGCCTCAGCCTCCCGAGTAGCTGGGACTACAGGCGCACCACCACGCCCAGCTGATTTTTGTATTTTTAGTAGAGGCGGGGTTTCACCATGTGTGTTGGCCAGGATGGTCTCAATCGCCTGACCTCAGGTGATCCGCCCGCCTCAGCCTCCCAAAGTGCTGGGATTACAGGTGTGAGCCACCACACTCGGCCTGAATTGTCTTTTATCTTGAGTTTCTTCATTGCTACTCAAAGTCTGCTCCACAATCCAGCAGCAACCACATCATTGGAGAGCTTGCTAGAATTTTGGGCCCCATCTTAGACCTACCGAATCCAACTCTGTATTTTAAAAAGGTGCCCAGGTGACTCATGACCACACTAAAGTTTGAAAAGTGCTGAGCTATTTCAACCTGGACTTTGTCGACCTGTAATAGAATTAAATCCCCTTCATCGGTTGCGACAACAGAAACCCCAACTCAGACTTCCCTAAATCATTAAGGTATCTTTGATTGGCCAGGTGCAATGGCTCACATCTGTAATCCCAGCATTTTGGGAGGCTGAAGCGGGGGCATTGCTTGAGGTCAGGAGTTTGAGAACAGCTCAAGTAACATAAAAAAAGAGGAAGAAAGAGAAAGAGAAATTAGCTAGGTGGTAGCATGAGCCTATAGTTCTAATTACTCAGGAGGCTGAGCCGGAGGATCCTTGAGCCCAAGAGTTGGAAGGCTGCAGAGAGCTATGTTTGTGCCACTGCACTCCAGTCTGTCTCTAACAAAAAAAGATATATTTTACTTAAGAAGCCCCATGGTAGAGCAGACTCCAGAGACTCAACTAAGCCAAGCAAAGATCCTGATTTTCTTCATATCAGCTCTGTCATCCTCAGTGTGGACTTCATTATCACACCATACCAAGGCCTGATCATGTCTCTAGGCCTTCTTAGGAGGGAGAGAATCTTTATTAGAAGCCTCCTAGGCCGGGCGCAGTGGCTTACGCTTATGATTCCAGCACTTTAGGAGGCTGAGGCGAGCAGATCACCTGAGGTCAGGAGTTTCAGACCAGCCTGGCCAACATGGTGAAACCCCGTCTCTACTAAAAATACAAAAATTCGCCAGGTGTGATGGCACACACCTGTAATCCCAGCTACTTGGGTGGCTGAGGCATGAAAATCACTTGAACCTGGGAGGTGGAGGTTGCAGTGAGCTGGGAACGTGCCACTGCATTCCAGTCTGGGTAACAGAGCAAGACTCTATCAAAAAAAAAAAAAAAAAAAAAAGCGTCCTAGTTCTGAACACAGTGGCTCACACCTGTAATCCCAGCACTTTGGGAGGCTGTGGCAGGAGGATTGCTTAACCTGAGGAGTTCAAGACCAGCCTGAGCAACATAGCAAGACCCTGTCTCTACAAAAATATAAAAATAAAAAAAAGAAGCCTCCCACCTCAACCTGAGCAGACTCGTTGACCAGGACTGGGTCACATGCCCATTCTGTGGCCAGGACATTTGGCACGAGTCAGTCATTTGAAGGTGGAATTGACTCCTGTCAAGAAGTTGCCGCTGGGATGTACTGGTCCAGATGATGGAGGAAGCAGCTTGAGTTGCAATGGAGATGAATTCATTGAGGCTCCTCTATCCATCTGGCCCCAGGAGGCCTCGTTGGTGGAAAGAATGAAGGAACGCTGGACCATCTCAACTGTTCCCTGGATCTGGGACTCCCAACCAACCCCAGAAGCGAAGAACTCATCACGGAAACCAAAATAAGATTGTTTTATTCCAATTCTGAAGCACAATAGTCCGAACAATTCCCTTCCCCTGCTGGAGACTCTCCCAATCCCCAGTGCCCCCCCACCCTTCAGAAGGCGAAGGGGGTCCATGTCTCCAGGTCTTAGAGAAAAACCAAAACCACGCCCCTTCCGTTTCTTCTCTACCCACCTCCTACGCATTTCCTTTGTCTCATCTCCGATTTTTCTTCCCCCTCCTACATCCTGTCCCTTCCTCTCCTGCTTCCCCCAGCTTTTCCTCATGTCTTCATTTCTGTCTCTTCATTTCTTGTCCTCTCTCCTCCATTTCCGGCTCCCCTTTCCATCTTTTCTCGCTTATCTCCTCTCCTTCGGCTGTCTTCCGTACTTTCTCCCTTTCCCCGTCTCCCCCTGCACTCCCTAGATTGGCCAGTCTACTCTTGCCAGACACTCCCCGTATCATCATCGCTTCCTCCCCCTCCCCCCAGCTCTGCCCCTTTCCTTTCTTCTGCCCCAGCCTGACCCTGTCTACACCTCTCACCACATGCTTCCTCTCCAGAGGGAAGCCCTCAGAATCCGCCCTGGCCATCAACACCTTCCCCAGCTGTGGCTCCAGGACCTCAGAGACCACTGTCACCTTGCCCTTGGACCCAGAGAGGCAAACTGCCATGAGGAGGTCCCTGGATGACCCAGGAGGTGGCCAGGGGGACTGGAGTGGTCTCCTTGGCCTCAGCCCTATTATCTTTGGGATCGAAGAATGCCCTCCGACCCTCCCGGTGGAGGGTGGTGGGCAGAGGCATGAAGGGTCAGGGCTCCGGGGCTCTCCCCCAGCAATCCCTGAGCAGGTCCATGTGGAATAAGGCTGCCCCAGTGAGGAGGCGCGCTGCAAAGAGGTGTCTGCAGGGCAGACGGCGGGCGGCATGGATTGAGCAGCTGCAGCGTGTCAGGGCCCCATCCAGGAAGAAGTCCGAGGTGCCGTCCTTAAGGGCAAAACCGGCTCCGGTCCAGTGGAAACCCCGGGTCCCATGCTGCCTAGCAAAGGCCAACTCCTCGGCCACCAGGTCTGCCAGCTCTGGCCCGCAGGCTGCTCGGAATTTGGCCAGGGGTTCCCAGTCCACCTCCTCCTCTCCTGGGGGCCGGCAAAGCCTCTTTGGTTCCCTGGGGCCATCTTCGCCTCCTTCCTGCAGGCCGTCACCTGCAGCCAGGTGTTCGCTCCTCACCACTGCCCATTCTGGGCTGCCTTCCAATACAGTCCCCACCGGGGTGCCACACACGACTCCATTCCCCAGCCCTAGACACCGCCCTCCCGCGTCTGCCCACTCCATCCCTCGTCCAGCTCGGCTCTTGGGGCCCACAGACCGGGCTCCCCCTCCATCTCCATTCTCCACGCCTGTGACCCTCGTGTCTCCCAGCTGGACCAAAACGATATCCTCCAGGCCCCTTCTTCTTTTGGCTCCCACCCTCGCTCCCCTCTCCTCTGCAGTCTCTGGCCCTCTCCTCCTCTCATCTTCCCACTGGGGTCCCCTTGGGTCTCCGTTCTCAGGGGCCAACTCCAGGGACTTCTCCAAGGGGATCCCCCTCAAGTTTCTGACCTCCAGCGCCCTCCCCTTCTCTACTTCTGACTGTGGCCCCTTCCATTCTGCCGTTCTCAGTCCCCCTGCCTTTTCATCGTGCAGCTGCACCCCCCTCCAGGGGCTTCCTTCAAGACTCCTGACCCTCTCATAGTCAAACTGGGTCCCCCTCAGGTCGGTGGTCTCCAGCGCCCTACCGCGATCCTCCAACTGGGCCACCCTCCAGGTATATCCTTCCAATCCTCGTAGCGCCTGGTCCTCCAATTGGGCTGCCCTCCAGACATAACCTTCCAGTCCCCAATCTTTCTCACCCTCCAACTGGGGCCCCCTCCAGTCCCTAATCTCTGGCCCTTTCAGGTGCCCTTTCTCCAACTGCGACCCTCCCAAGACACCTCCTTCCAGTCCCCTCGGCTTCTGATTCTCCGACTGGCCCCCTCTCCAATCTCTGATCTGCAGTGCCCTCCCCTTCTCACCTTCGAACTGAGCCCCTCCCCAGTCTCTGGTTTCCAGTGCTCTTGCCCACTCCTTCTCCATTTGGGCCCCCCTGCAAATACTTGCTTCTTTCGAAGCCCCTCCCCAGTCGCCTGTCTCCAGGCCCCTCACCCTCTC